CCCCCGGGCGCGCCTGCCCCGCGCCCGCCGCACGCAGCTCCTATGTTGATGGGCAGAGGACGTTCTTTGCTGACACAGCGCTGCCAAAAGACACGCCAGGCGGACTGAGGGACCTGCGGGAGGAACAGCTGATCAGCATCAGGGTGCGGTGGGGCGTGGCTTCTCACACCTGTGTGCGTTGCCTGCTGCCTGCTCGCGCGTCCCTGCAGGCACCGTGCGCGCGTGTGCGCGTGGACGCTGTCGGCCGTGGCCCACGATCAGAGTGCACGTTTGCACGGTAAGCCAGGCAACCATCGCTGCCCCAGCCAGCGTCATTGCGCCTCCTCCTCCCCCTGTATACGACGGGTTCCCTGCTTGGCGGCGGCGCTGGCGGACCGCGCAACACACGCACAAACGAACGCAGGTGTCCGACAACAAGACCCGCAAGGGGAGCGAGCGCATCTACGACTTTGACGTGTACAACGACCTGGGCACCGACAAGGACGTGCGGTGAGTGGCTGCTCGCTCAGATGCAGAAGCAACCCAGGTGAGAGGCAAGGCCCTGACATTGTATCGGGACCGACAAAGCATCTTGCCCGGCGCACAAAGTATAGCACCTGGCGCCTTGCTCGGGAAGCGTCCCGCAAAACCTGCAGCCCTCGCGTCAGCCGGGGGCGCCAATGTGAGTACAACGGAGACATTCGAGGAGGCCGGGGCCTGCGCAGATTTTGCGTGCGCCCGCCTCGCTTGCTCAATTATTGCAAGCGATGGCGATTACACGCCCGCCCGCGCTCGGCGGCCGCCGCCCCATCTTGCGCACCGACAGGCCGGTGCTGGGGGGCAGCAGCGAGTACCCCTACCCGCGCCGCCTGCGCACCGGCCGCGGCCTCTACCCCGGGACCGAGTATGAGGTGGGGAGCAGGGCCTCGCTTCCCGCCTGTGAGACGTTTGTGTGCTCGTACCTGCTAATGCCCGCGAGGAAGTTGAGGGTTTGTACAGCGCCTCCTGGCCCCTCCTGAGATCTCTTACTTTCTGGGGCGATTGCATCTGGTGGCGTAATTTTCAGGCAGCAGACTCACGACGCCGCCGGTCGTTGCAGCAGAACGGAACGGTCAGTCTGGAGGACTCGGCTCAGAGCATCTCACCCGGTCCACTCAGCAAGCAGCAGCGAGGGCGCTTGCACCAAGATATCCCGCACCCTGTCCTTCTGCTGAGGCGGCTGCCTTTCCCGGGAACACCACCACCAAACCCCTCTCCAGGAAAGGGCGCTGATTTCCCCCTGGGTTACGCCTGATGACACCTTCTCTGACGCCAAGGTGCAGTCGGTCACGCGCGTGCGCAACTGCCTGATCACCCAGCAGGCCCCGCCTGGCTTGCAGCAGCTGAGATTGAAAGCAGTGGCTCGTCCAATCTTGAGCAGGGCTCCCCAGACCAGAGGCCAGTACTCGTGCCTTTGCTGACTCTGCGGGGTCATGGGTGATAGTCCTGCTGACCGGAGGCCACCAGGTTTGGACCCCTCCCCAACAAATGCTTTCCCCTTTGAGCCCTGCAGAGCTCACCCCTGATCAAACCCGACCTCCCTCCACCCACCCGCGCGCGCGACTCCACGACTCTGGGACTGCCAAGATCCTCGCGTTCGTCGGGACCGTCCTGCGCGCCGTCATCAAGCGCTCGCCCAAGGGAAAGGAGCACTTTGAGAGCCTGGGCGAGATCGCGGCGCTGTACAACCGTGAGAGCGCGTTGACTTTGGCCGGCCTTGTTTGACCTGTGGATGGGCTGGGTGCTGTCATTACCTGGAGTGATACACTGCACTGCAGAAACAACCGAGCGCAGTGTGTTGATGAAGATAGATTCGTATCGGCCCCATCAGTGAGGGAAGGGGGGCCGCAGCTGTGGGCGGTGCCTGTTAGAGTGGCACTTGGCGCCACCGGCAGGCTGGGGGACAAACTCGATTGCGCACCCATGCGTACTTGGCTGCAGCTCACAGACCACGTGTCGAATTTTCACCGTGAATGCCTGCCTGTCCTTGTGCCCCGCCCCCACCCGCAGCCGGCGCCCCCAAGACGCCCGGCGCAGCTGCCTTTGCCGGCGACGGCGCCCCCGTGACCCAGCAGCTTCTGGCCGCCCTGCAAGATCCCGACATCTTGATCTCCGCACTGGAAGACATCCGGTCGGATGCCAAGGACGCTGGTAAGATCTCGCCGCGGGGCTCACAGAGCAGAAGCGCTGCGTGTGCACATGCTTTGTTTCACAGCTTCTGGCATCACGCCTGTCGTACGCAAAGCCTCAGGGCGAGCCGGCTCACTCAACGCGCGTTGCCGCCGAGTTGGGCTTGTGAACGCTTGCGGCTTGAGCAGAAGACTGTTGTACCGCTGCGCGCAGCCGTGGCATGCAAACACGCATCAGCCCGAATCAGTGCCTCACCCCCTGCGCGCCCACGCAGCCTCGGCCTTCGCATCTGACGTGGACGATGTCGAGAAGGCTGGCCTGGCGGTGCTGGGCCTGCTGATCGACGCCCTGCAGGACGTCCTCCATGCAGAGAGCCTCCTGCTCCACGGCCTGTCCCCCCAGCCGCCGGCCGCTGCTGCCGCTGCCGCCGCCGCCTCCCCCAAAGTCCGCTCATCAGGGAAAGAGGCGCAGGGTAACAGCGTCGCGGCGTCTGCGGCAGCGGCGGCGGCGGCGGCGCTGCCGCGGCCCCGCCTGGCTGGGCTGGTGAAGGGTCGTCTGGATGACCTGAGGGCGACCCTGAGGGACTGGCCGGTGCCGGTGGTGGAGGCGGGGCGGGAGGGCGCA